CCTGAGGGCCACCATTTTGAGATCACATGACCAGCTGAATAATACTCAATTTAGTCCTGCAACCTCTGTTACTGGACACTTTTACTTGTGAAATCAAATCCGCTTCATCCACACCACTAGGTGTCAAAATAAGCCCAAAACGACAACATTAGTAAAAAGTTACTGGCCGTTTCTCAATATGCGTTCTTGTCTGTACTTGTGTTCTTGTGGACATGTGAAATGTCATCAGTCGCTGCCCAAGTACTGTTCCAATTCAAAGTTCACATCTAGCCAAGTCCAGTTCAAATCCCCGGGTGTGTTCTTGATCCGCCCCTTTTATCGAGGATACATCGAGAGGTGACTTGTGCGGACTTGAGACAGCCAGGCATCGCAGAATGCATCTCGCACCAACCAGCAAGTGTCAATAGCAGAGCAGAAAATCAGCGTAATTCAAAAATAGATACTACTGTTATTGTGTTACAAAATTTAGTTATAAGAGTTTTTCAGGCGAGAATGTAGTTTATTAATAAAGATAGAGCCTATTAGAAGTTTTCGGAGTTGTGAGATCCAGGCGATCACCGGGCTCTCAGCGCTCATTAACCCCTCCTGGAACAACCTTTCCTCGGCTAGTCCTTCTGACATTTGCCGTTGGCTCTGATGTCTATAGTCTAGTGGTTAAACATGAGATATAATTCGTCTTGTGTATATCTAACGGGCGATCTTTGGTCTCATTAATCTGTAATTTGTTCCCTGGCAAACCGGTTTGGCTGAGGACAAAGTGAAGTTTCATAACTTTATATGTTTAGGCTATTTAACTTTAATATTGTAGCCTAATAGAGAGCTGACTTATGTGTTTGATTGAATCGTTTGCTTTATTTCTTATTGCATAGCTTCCTATACCTTTTAGGCTACTTATCGCAATAATGATTTATCAATCATTAAAACTGACATTTAACAAAAAGAGACCAGGTTGTGTCATTTTATTTCATTATACATGTACATAGTGAAGAGGATCAGAGACAATATGCACATATTGCCTTAACTACATGTAGTTCAGGCAATATGTGCAAATGTACTCTGATTCTCTTCACTGTATGTACAATTGTTTCCTTCAATTTCTTTAATCTGTTCAATATGAAGTGCTTCATCATGTCTTCTATGAGAAATGCACGCCACAAAGAGTAAAGAGCTAACCAACTAACTGATCAACAGAACAGTTTTTTTTTTTGGTCCATACAATAAAAATCAATGGGGTCTAATGTTGCTTGGACCCCAACTTTCTTCAAAATGTCTTCTACTGTTGCACGGCAAGTCATAATGGTTTGAAACAACACGAGGGTCATTTTCATTTTTGGGAGAACTATTACTTTTTTAAAAAAAGTAAGTAAAACAAGAAAATCTTTGGATATATTAATAAGTATTTACTTTAAAAGTGTCTTGACGCTCCAAACATTTTCTTCCATTCAAAATTTCATTGTCTGTTTATGATGTTTATTCTTTCATTCCCTGTTCCATCGTTCCATCAGTGATATCTCGCTCATGTCCACCCTTATCTCTTCCTCGCGGCGTAACCGCTGCGCTCTCTTTCTTTTGACCTTCATGTTTTACACTCCTCTGTTCCATCACCATATTTCAGTCATATCACTCTCTCCTCACTCCATTTCGTCCCTCTCTTTCTCCCTCAAACCATCCATTTATTCTGTCCCTGATATCCTCGGATTCTTTATGCGTGTGCGGACATTTCTGCGTTTTCAGAGCAGTGTGGAGACCCCCGCGTGTTCCTGACATTCTGTTTCGAGGCGCTGCAGAGACATTTACAGTCGGCCATAACAAAAGGGGCTTACGGGAAATTTACAGGGCAATTACACCAGGCTAGCCTGGGAGAGTTAGCCTACAGCCAGCGCAGAAATCCAGACCTTCACAATTCCTCACATACACACACTCATCCTGTCATCCTGGCTCACATCCCCAGCAGCATCTCACATTCAACTGCAAAAGAAAAAAAATGCTTTATTGGCGAGAATTACATAACAGCATATTCTGCCAAGGCTAAAGACCCATTCTTTATCTCTCTCTCTCTCACTAACACACACACTGTTGCAGAGAATGGCTTTTTGTTGCTGAGATTATGAATATACAGCCGGATTCAAATGCCTGAGACCACTGAAATTGCTTCTATTTAGCATTTTTCTAATTTAATACTTTTCTCCCCACTACAAATTATATTATCAGCATAACGGTTTGAGTGAAATGTTGAATTGAAAAATTAATTTAATGACTTTCAGAATGACTTCGTATTTGTATGAACCACTTTCGCTTCAATGACAGCAGCACTCGGGCTGCATGAACTCCACTAGTTTGTATTAAATCTTATGATCATGTAACAAAGGTACTTCCAGCAAGCAGCGCTCCAAGATGTTTTTCTTGATTAATTTTACATCTTAATTTTATGTTTGAATTAGACTTTCAACATGGACTGTAGACTTTTGCTCTCGCTGACAACGAGGCCCATCGCCCCAGATTTGATGTTATTAAAAGGCAGAGGAAAACACAGAAGGAAGTCTGAAGTATAGACAGACTGTCATCTCAACCAGAGGTAGTGAGTCACCGAGAAATGGAACAACAATGACCTTGCTGAGCAAATGCTTAGGGAAAAACAGCAATTACACCATAAAATGGCCAATCTCAGCTTTCCTTGACGTTTCTCTTCAATGCGTGCGTGTTCTCTTTAACTGCAAAAGTCTCTGAATGAATTTGAGGTTATCCTCCATAAATCCACTGTCATATCTCCTTCTTTCATTCTTGTCCCTACAGAGCCTGTATTCTTGCTCGTTTCGTCCCATTCTCCCCACTGTTACACTGCAGTTTCCTTCCTCCCCAGTGTTCTGCTCATTTTAATGGTTCTATTAACAATTCCCTCTAAACTTCAGGCTCTTGTTTTACCACTCTCCTCTCTTCCTATCTTTCTATAAGACCGCCTGTTCTCTGCTCGAGTTTTCCACATGCCACTACTCTTCTTTGCTTCTTTATGTTTGTAACGTTACTGCGGTAGAAATAGCGATGAGGCTGGATCCAGACGCTGTGTGTCTTTATTAACAAACTACAAACTTAGACAGGAAATAGGATACAAGGACTTAGAAACAGGATTCAAGGATTCAGAAATAACCAACGGTAACATCTAACATACATTCAACAACTCACAAAGACAGGGCAGAAACACAGGGCTTAAATAATCATGGACAAACGAGCTAACAAGATAAGAAGGGGGCGTCGGGAATAACGAGAAACACCTGGGAGAACTAAAAGACAGGACAGGGAACCACTGAACACGAAAAGACAAGACACAAAAACCCACATCATGACAATGTTCCGCCTTCCTCTCTGCCGACCTTCATCTAATTTGTTACACAAGTTATATTTATTTAAATGAGGGCTTGCACGAATAATCATTTTACTAGTGGATCAAGTAGTCAAATGTTTGCCTTACATAAAAGAAAAAATCTAATTTCCACATTTCTTAAAATGACAACCAACATTTTGCAGATAAAATGCAAGAAAACAATTTAATCCATATAGTGCATCAATTTTCCTATTACTAAATAGGACATTTAAATAAATAACAAATAAATAAATAGGAAATTATTTCTCCTATGATTAAACTGCGACTGAACACGTGAGAACTCACTCCTCCATGGTGAATAAATTGTCATCCAAATGCATTTTTTTTTTATTACTGAGGAGCCAAGGAAATGTATTTTTACAGATGTCCCCATCAGAAACAACTACTGTCCAAATAGGGCTGTAACATCTGACTTTCTGTATAAAGGAGTTCACATGCCAACGTCAAAAATGTATATGATTAGTGACCTAGGAGTAGTGCATAATCTGAAATACTTCAAGGGTTTGAGATTGAAATTGTGACACCAAAAAGATGATAATTATATAAGAATATAATGATTAACGTTATGGAAGATTAACAATAAACGGACAATTTTAAAATGATATACTATTTTGTCTAAAATAAATCAATAAATCAATTGTTATAAATGCATGCAAATTTGACTTCACAACAATATTGAGATTGGATAACGATTACATTTAACAATGTTTTTAAATTATTGGTGTTTTAGTGAGCGTTAAATGATGCTAAGGGTAATCTAAATGTAAAAACAGGAAAAATGTACATGTTTACGATTAAACCTCCAAAAACATTATTTGGTTAATTGATAATTAAGAAGCAAAGTGTTTGTCTAAAACTTTGCAGCAGTTTAAACTCAAATCAAGTACAGCCAATTCTATCATCATCTACCCACCCTCACGTCGCTCCAAACTCATATGCCTTTTTTTCTGCTGGAACACAAATGCAAATGCAAATGCAAGTTGATCACTAGCTGTCAAGTCCTTGCTTTATTTCAAGAGCTTATAAGGTTGGGATTTGAAACCGGTTCTTTTGCATGCTAAACAATCTATTGTATCTAGCATTTACATTTTAAACTGGTAATTTGTATAAAAAAAAAAAATTAAAAAAAAAACTTTTTTAATGTATTTTCTCGCCTGGGGCATCGAGTGAGTCAAGACTTCCACTAGTGCCCATTTAAAAAAGAGAAGGGAAAAGATGCATGATACCACTATTTTCTGTCTTTTTGTCTTTGGTCCACACTTCTCTCTGATCCTTCAATCATAAATCTGCCAGCTGTCTCTGCCTCCACTTTCCCTCTATCCTCTTTTCTCTTCACATGCACATCTCTTCCCTCCCTCCCTCTCATAAATTATCTTCCTCTAAGGCGTAGTGAGAGAGAAGGACAGAGAGAAGTGTCTGAGGAGGAGATGGGGACTGTCGAAAATAAAGAGAGAGGGAGAGGCCGAGACTGAGATGAGAAAGATGAAGAGAAATGAAAGTATAGCTTCGAGTTTCATAAGGTTACAGACAGAGGGAGAAAGATTCATTTCAAGGTGTGCTGAGAAATTACAGAGAGAAACGAGACCGATGGAGAAGTAAAGCAGGGAATGTGACGACTCACGGCAGAGGGAGAGCAGAACGAGTGACCGCAGCAGGAGGGATGGAGCGGAGGAGAGGAGGAGAGATCGCTGGCCTGGTGTCATTGTGTATTGAGACTCGGTAGTTGATCAATGAGTCCTCTGTGGCTGATGACTGCACAATTCAGCACACGCTACACAGCAGACAGCTGAAACTGCAGCAAAATTACTACACTAAACACCAGTGCTCCTTAAGTGCAGTGTTAACCGAATCACTTTAGCGGCTGCGTTTTAATCCTCAAGCAACTAATATCGCATTCGCTAATAACCAGCCGAAGGCGGCTAATTAAAACAATCTGATCCACACATTCAAGAATAAAAAGAAACTCGTATCGTGTGGCAATTTCCACACTTAACTTTACCGTCAAGCTACTTATTAGCACTCAAGCTTAAATAATACAAAACACTTATGGAGTAGTCCTGTTTTAGATATTATACTTGTTATGCAGAAGGCTGTTGTGTTTATATCTGAAACGGTAGCCAACTAACCACATCACAGATTTGGATCCCACAAAAGGTTTCGCTAATCTTGTCTTTCTCTTTACACCTAAGTTTGTTTTTCTCGTTCGTGATGAGGCAGAGCCTGCTGAGATTCACCTCGTCATTTTACGCACCTCGTGCCAGAAAGACACCGTGATAAGGCAAACACAGTCTGGTTCATTGAAACAATCACAAATCAATGTGCTATCTAGTCTCAACAACGGTTGTAGGCGCCAAACAATCTGTTTTGTGTTCTATAAGCAACTCTATAACCAATCCAACATGGAATTGAAGTTGAGACTGAAATATTAAAAGGTTCTGCTCTATAACACTGAAAAGCAGAAGTCCAGCTTGATCCTTAACAAAGAGCTACGTGTTATAAAGCCCAGAACAGCAGTTCATACTAGTGTTCCAAGCACACCGTGATACTGAGCACAGCCAGGATCCTCACTAACACACACAGTGATTGGCAAGGCTGATATTCTCTGTGTGGGAGCACAACTCCAGATCTGAGCCTCAGGTAACTGCCTGATTCCATTTGATTTTCCCCAAAAGTCGTCACGCAACTTTCCTACTTCCACTAAGGTCGGGTCAACCACTAAGTTAATCCATCTCTCCTCTCCTTTCTTGATCTGTCCTTTTGTGGATGGTCCTTTAATTCCTTGAAACTTAGTTTCTTTGCTTTCACATCTTCTACTTGTAGTCCAAAACTCATCGAGTTATCTGCTTGATGTTTGTATAACCTCTCTTGAAACTGCAAAGACAAAATTTGGGAGGACCCTTTTATACTTGAGTGTGTGCGTACTGGCAGATGCATATCCCACATATCGTTATTTTGGTAAAGGGCAGGGGAGGGTATGAGTCCACAATAGAACTCATTCAGAAAGCAAAACAGTCAGGCAGTCAGTCAGTGAGCTTCACTGTCTTTCAGTCTTTCTTCTACAGTTTGTTTTGTCTTGCTAAGCTCTCTGGGTCATCAGCTTCTTTCTGATCAGTCTTTATCTGTCTGGCACACAGAGAGTCTTCACCAGGTCACGAGGGGCCATTCTAAATGAATGAGGCTTATTTTGTGATGTGCTGTACATTCTGTATTATACTATGCAATGTGCGCATAAATGCGTGAGTCTGTGAGTATTCATGTATGAACAGTATCCAGTGTGTGCACAGGGGACTGTGGGAGAGGAAAGCAAGATTGAGTGAATGTGTACAGACTACAGTCAATTAGTAGATTCATTCAAAGAAATTTAACTCAGGTTCTGCATTCTGAGTTATTCCACCGTGGTCCACAAAATAAATAAAAATATCCATCCACCTATCAGCCTATCTATCAATCAATCAATCCATCCATCCACCCATCAACTATCCACCTATCCTCCCACACATCCATCCATCCACTTACCTACCAACCTACCCTTGCCTCCATTCATCTACCTAAACTAAACTAAACTGCACGTGATTTGGCAAAGGCTGTGATTATTTTATGCGCAGCTTGTCAGTGCAGCACGGCTGATCGGTAGTAAATGCTGCTCCATCTGAACACCAGGGGGCGCTCTCGTGCAGATACTCCAAATATGCCCCGCAGAAGTACTATAAAGGCCCCGATATACTTCAAGTGAAATTGAAGAACGAACTGATGTGACGTCATTTCGAACAAAATCAGTTCGAAACAGCTTGTCAAAGCGAACTTTTCCGGAAAGATTACGTAATAGGTAGGTGTGCGCGGAGGCTCCGCCTTCTTTCACGTGGAAATCTTTTCCAGTTCATTTCTCCTCACAAGTCAGTTGAGATTAGATGTAATCTGCGAGTGAAAACATGAACACATGTGAGTATATCAGGGCCTTAATGCACGTCATTCCAGTTTATTCGCTGTTCCTAAATAAACAGAAGATTGAAACGCTTTAATTGATTAAACATGATTAATAAACACATGACTATGACAATATATGGTTTATCTGAGTTTTTTAAGCCTTCTCTGGTAATTTTCATGATAATAAAGTATATTTATACTTCAAGGCTAATCAACATAGCCTTTATCACTGTATAGAATACTATGAAATAATATATTGTGTGCCTTATTCTGTGTAAGAAGCCACATCATCTCACAGAAGGATGCTCAACTGTCGCTATAAGGTGAGTTTGCAGTAAAAACATGCTATTAAATGTCTTTTGTTGGACAAGAGCACCATCCATCAACCTTCCCACCTACTGACCAATCAATCACCAATCCATCCGTCCACCCTCCGATCCACCATCCATCCATCCACCCACTTACCTACCCATCCACTTACATATCCACCTACCTATCTACCTACCTATCCATCCACCCATCCATCCCCCTAAAAAGTTTGAAACCTAAAGGCATTTTTAACTTAATATAAAACGTAATTTTGTCACTGCAACAGATACATGTTTTCGCTGCACACCCCTGGAAAACGCTAACTAGTTTAATACTTTTCTGGATGACTACTACATCTCTGCACAGTCAAGTGCATCTATATAAAAAAGTCACTTTTGTTGAAGCAAAGATGTCATTTAATGTCATCTTCTCACCCTTATTATTACGCTCTAATACTGCTGATGCGGCCGTGTGTGTATTCATTACAGTTGAATGGCAGCGCAAGACTGTGTCCACAGTGCATCTTCCTGTTCCTCTATCCTCATTTGCATCCCAATAATTTTTTTATCCATTGGCACCACAGCAGACCAAATGTTGCCAAAGCACTTAAGGGATATGAGTTAACAGTTGCATGAGGGTAATGTTTAAAACTCACACATGATTCATACACACTCTGACTGCTTGTGATACCGTAGACATTAAAGCACTTAAAACTTAATCCAGCACAAACGGTTCAGTCCAGGAAACCCTTAGGCTGCAGGTGGGAAAGTGGGAGTCCGTGGGTGCAAGAATCCTGGTGCATCAGCAGAAAAGGTGCAGGATATTTTTGATGCTCTGATCCTGTGTTCTGCTTATCACAGATTAAATTTGCGTTTTGTCCTTCAGGCTATGTAATAATGCATGTGGGTGGGGGTGTGGTGAATTCAAGTCTCTTGGAGGAGAAGGAGGGCGTAGAGTAAGAGCGAGAGAGAGTGAAGCGAGTGTGCATGGCCCTGAGTGTGTGTGTGTGTGTATGGAAGACTTTCTTGGCCCTCTTTCGTTCTCTCTTTCCTTCTGAGTCTTGTTGTTTGTCAGTGCCAGGCTTTTATGCCAAGCCGGCAGCCATTACTCAATCAGACAGCTTCCTGTGAGCTCTTCTCATTAAAACCTCACACGAACTCTAAACCTATGAGCACAATTATCACCCTTTATACAAACACACGCGGAAACCCGGAGGCGCACGCACACAGTCGACTCGCAACGAAAACACAGACAAAACAGAAATCCAAGTCCTGCCAAAAGTCTCAGTTTGTGGGACGCTATTAAGGCTATTAAAGACTAACTAACCCCAGTCACCCTCCACACAGGCTGTTTACAGCACTGAACAGCTAAAATGCTCTATAACACCCATTCTGAACCGAATGTTACGAATCGTATCCATTATAATGAAGCTAAAGCTTTTACTGAAAAATATCTGATGTGCTGCAGAGCTACTATTATTTTTTCAGAAATAAAATACATTTTCTTACAAATAATATCATGTGTGTGTGAATATTTTTTCTAGAAATTGTATTACTAATGTACGTTCTGACCATAATATCAAATCCAACTTGATGTTTATGGACTCAATTTCTAAAAAATAAAATAAAATGATCAGGTTATATAATTTAGAATCAATTTATGAAATATTATCATTTAAAACAACCGTTTTCTATTTTAATGTATTTTAAAAAAAAATAGTCTTCAGTGTCACATGATCCTTCAGAAATCATTCTAATGCTAATTTGGTGATCAAGAAACATTTCTTATTATTATCAATGGTGAAAACAGTTGTGCTGCTTAATATTTTTGTGCAAACTGTGCTCCCCCACCCCGTGATTCCAAATATACATATATGTTTGTAACAATGTAAAAATCTTTACTGTAACTTTTGCTCAATTGAATGCATCCTTGGTGAATATTAATTTCTTTAAAAACGGTAATAAATAAATACAAAAATATACAACGTGCAGAGTGCTGCACAGAGACACAAATCAGTGACTCATTTCTGTTTCAACCAATTCATTTACATGAACCGCCCAAATGATTAAAAAAAAACGAATCGGATCGATTATCATTTGATCATTGCCTCAGCTCACTAGGCTGTAAAGCTGCATGTGCGATACAGTGTGACAAATATGATATAGCTGTTCTGACACACTACGCCGCTACTTATTCCCCAGCAGCTTGTTACTGGAAAAGCGACATTATTAATATGATAAATTGCTTGTGATATTGCTCATTTGTAAGTTTGTTCAGATAAAAACATCTGCTAAATGACTAAATGTACTGTAAATATAAGCTACTCTGCTTTGCAACATCAAAACCCGGTATCCACGTCACCAATACTAAAACTGATTGAATTTTGATCATTTTGATACAATTGATATATTAGTTGTCGCATCGAAGCCAAATCAAAGTCTAAGAGACTTGATTTGGTTTATAACATTTGTCTATTCAAAGAACGGTCAAGTTAGCATTGCAACTTTCACCTAGTAACTCACCAAACAATGGCAAGTACACACACGTGCAGAGATACAAACACACACTCGAATAAAGTTGGTCAACAGGAAGCGTGTTGTTGCAGGTTCTGAGAGCGTCGTCATGTGCTGTTTCTCACCGGGATCAGAGTCTATTGAGCAGTGCTGTATGTTGTTTATCAAAAGAAACAGGAGAGCGGGAACGTGATCATCTCACTGTTTTCTTCATCCCTTCTCATCTCGTCCCCATTCTGCCAGTTATCTATCAGCCCACAAAGGAACTATTTCTTTCCATATGATAACATAATCTTCCTTTTCTGTTCCTCTCTGAATAGTGCCCTTTAGTGGCTCTTTATCAACACAGTGTTTCTCTCTCTAT